GCTACCAAAATTCCTTTTTTAAGATATAAATATGCCTGAGCAAGTTAGCAATCATTAGCAACACAAAGTACAGCCATTTTAATCAGATTGTTTTCCTCTTAAATTTTATTTTGGAAGACTCTTGACCAACTAGAATATGGATTCTTTATGGATCCAAGGGTTTGTCTACAAATTTGGAAGTGTATGGCTTAAGTCTAAACTGCCTGCAGCTCAGATTCTGGCTAATCTATTTGGACTGCCCTGGGAAGACACTAATTCTAACAGCGTGCTATGCCCCATTGCTCAGTCAAGTCTGACTCTCTGGGATCCCATGGACTGTATGTACCCCAGCCAGGCTCCTCTGTCTGTGGAATTTTCCAGGCAAGAATACTGGAGTGGGTTGCCATTTCCTATTCCAGGGGATCTTCCCAGCCCAGGAGTTGAACCTGTGTCTCTTGAGTGTCCTGCACTAGCAGGCAGATTCCTTACCACTGCCAAAGCTGATAATCATGGTTTAGATGGATGACTCAGGCTTCAGTTTGGTACCTGTTTCACTGACTCACCCCTAACCTAGGCTCCCAGTGGTATTCATGCCTGTGTCGTGACATGAGCTGACTATTACTAGTATGTGTATTAGTCACTTAGTTACGTCCAGCTCTTTGAGACCCCATGGACTGCAGCCCGCCGGGCTCCTCTGTCCATGAGGATTCTCCAGGCAAGAATACTGGAGTGGGTTGCCATTTCCTTTTCCAGGGGATCTTCCCGACCCAGGGATTGAACCCCCATCTCCTGCATTGCAGGCAGATTCTTTACCATCTGAGCTACAGGGAGGGTGAGAAAACAAGGGGAGGCTTTCCCACTGGACTCTCCACAGATGTCAAGAGCACATGGAACTGGGGTGAGCAGTCTCAGCAGAGATGGAGCAATGCCAAGGGGGTGGACAGACACAGGTACTCTCTTTCCTGAGCACCTTTGACTTTAGCACAGAAATTTGCAGGCCAAGCTTTGGCGGAGCCACTTTCAATGGGCACAACAAAGCCTGTCTGCAATACTGGGGTCTTTCTAGCAGTATTATTTGGGAGTTTCCACACAATAACTGAGAATGCAGCAATAGCAAAATCTGATTTGTAACACTTGTTAATATGCAAGTGTGGCCTATGAAACCTGGAATTTTTGAAAAGGAAAAAAAAAAAAACTCCCAAGGCTTTTCTAAGCCAAAAAGCATAACTGAAGAGGCAAATCCTAAAATCCTTACTGTGGGCCTTCAGCTACTTCCTTTCTATAATGAGAATTTTACTTGCTGCCACTTACCTGCTTTACAACTTGAAAGTCAGATATTACATCATGAATACATTCATATCTTCAAGAATGAAAAAACAACTTACATATATTAATGGTGTAGATGTTATAAGGAGCAGAACATATTTTTTACCTTAAAACCCATTCATTGTTCTTTATAAAGCATTTTTTCCCTTTTTCACTGGTTAGGATTTTAGCTTTAGTTTGTTACAGCCATGGGTGAGAAGGAGAAATTTATAAGGAATCCAACTTCTTCAAAATTTAAAAAACACTTTAAACAAAGTTCTTGCCTTTTTAACATATTTATCAAAGAAAGGAGCATGTATGATTCTTTCTGTAAAGATAAAGTTCATAGGAAACAAAGATCCATTACAAGTAAATGGAAATTAAATGTTATTGTAGAAAGAATTTCTTTTAAATTCCTAGGAGAAATGTTGGTTAAAGATCAGGAGAGTGTTGGAACATCCCTGGTGGTCCAGTGGCTAAGATTTCACACTCCCAGTGCAGGAGGCCCAGGTTTGATCCCTAGTCAGAGAACTAGGTCCCACGTGCCTCAACTAAGAGTCCACATGTCACAACTAAAGACCCTACATGTCTAACAAAGATCAAAGATCCCAAGTGCTGCAGCTAAGACCCAGTGCAGCCAAATAAATAAGTATTTTTTTAAAAAGATCAGCAAAGTGTCAAGTGGATAAGGACCTTAGTCTCATCCAAAGCAACCCCTTTACTTTACAGAATGAGAAAAGCAATGCCCAGAAAATTGTCATTTACAGACATCTCAGAGTCATGGAATGGCAGAGCTGGAACCAGGTCTCAAGTCTGTTCACTGCCAGCTCTCAAGGCATTTTTGCTGTGAGACACACACACACACACACACACACACACACACCCTAGGACATCACACAAGCCATTGCTCACATTATTTTCAAGAAGTAAATAAAATAACATGTGACTTAAATTAGGAATGAGACTTAAAAATTAAGTATGTGTGAGAGAAATAGGACCACTTAATGGAAACACTGAGGTCAACAAATTACATCCTTCGGCATTTTTCAAGGAGTGGAGCCTCTTAGGGAATCTAGAGACTGAATTCAGTTCGCTAAGCCAAACATTCAACACGGCAGTTGCACACTTAGCTTACCCTCAGTTACAACAGCACTGGATTAGAGCTCTGTTTGGTTTTGCTTTTTCATTTCTGCCTTTTGACAAGTTTTGAGGGGAAAAAAAAAAACCCACCATGTGATAGTTAATAGGGAAGAAGGCCCATCAGCCTGGAACAGTCATTTCTACTATGGCCATTTCTGCTGGCACACCACCCTAATCTTGTCCCGAATCAGCTCTTGCCTGGATTATATCTATGAGACAATCACGTACTCTGGCCCCCTCTCCTCTCACACTGCACCCCACTGCCAGGCTTCTCTCCTTAAATCATTGTTTGCATTATATCACTCTGTATTCAAGACCTATGATGGTGTATGTTTAACTGCTTATTGACTCGTCAAAATATTTTAATCTGGCTTCTTTTGGCTCTTCATAATCTATCTGCCTCTCATCAATTCTACTGTCTGGCAGGCAGACTGCCTGTCTCTCCAGGAAATAAATCTCATTCCTATCACCAACCCTTTGGTAAATACTTTTCCCCGTTCTCCTGCCCTTCTCTCCACTATTTCAAATCATGTGTGTGTGTGTGTATGTCTGTGTCTGTGTGCATGCACACTAAGTCATGTCCAACTCTTTGCAACCCCATGGACTGTAGCCCACCAGGCTCCTCTGTCCATGGGATTTTCCAGGCAAGAATACTGGGGCAGGTTGCCATTTCCTTCTCCAGGGGATCCTGCCGACCCAAGTACCAAACCTGTGTCTCTTGGGTCTCCTGCATTGGCAGGTGGATCCTTCACTAGCTGAGCCATCAGGAAGCCCCCCCTCTCTCTTAACTGTTTCAAACCCAGCCAAGCTCCAATCCAACCCCCTCAAGTCCTCCATGCAGCCTCCCCACTATTCCAATCCTCCATATTGAGTTCTCTTTTCCCTGGTTTCATGACATTTTCTCCTATTGCTTCATATCTGTTAGTCCTGCATTCCTAAACTTAACACATATCTTTTAGGACAAGAATGATGTTTTAAGACTCTCTTGAGCCCTCTTCCCACCCCCACTCTCATAAGCTCTAGCATCTTGCTCACTGTAGCAGATTCTCAATAAACACTTTGACAGTAGGACAGAGCAGATAAAACAGAGGAAGAGAATGCCAGTTTCACCCCAGTGATGCTGGTAAAAGCAGAGTACTGTCTCTAGCCCTACCTCTCAGGCTCACTGCCCTTCTTCAGGCTCCACATCACTCCATCTCTAAATTGTTTCTGACTTCTCCCTCTGCAGGCTCTGAAAATCAGTTCTTTCTCTCTAACCATGGTCTAAGTCTGATCTACTTCCAACCAAGGCCATGACACCTTTCAGGCACCAATCTTACTCCAAGAACACAGCCAAATGGAAGTTTTCATTTAGACCCCACCTCTTTTCCTCCGTAACAGAAAGCCCAGCCCTTTCCAGGCTGGAAGATAAGTGTCCTCATCACATAGACACTTCAGCTGTCACATTGGTGCCCCAAGTCCAGATGTCCCTCCTCCTCGTCCCAGCCAGGACTATAGAATATTGACAGTTGCCCATCCCTCTGCCTGCACCCCTCACCTCCAATGATCAACATGCAGAGGGGACACCTTGAAGGAGTAGGATCTTCCCACCTGGGTATCTTCCTGCTACTTTCCCATACTGGAGGGCGAGGGGAGCCTTGTGTCCAGCTGTATAAAGTCACCAGCATCCCAAGTTGCAGCTCACTCTCTGCCAGCCCTGACTCCAAAGGACGTGAGGAGAGCCCACAGGGAGACCCAGGCACCCTGCCGCTCCTTCCAGGAACCACTCTTCCCTCCGAGCAGGTGACCACACCCAGAGGTCCCTAACCTACCCACTCAGGTTTCACCTTCAAGGTGAAGAAAAGTCTTCTCCCTGCAATTTCTCCTTAAAATAGGAAATCATATATTCCAAGTGGAGCACCTATGTGTTTCATCAGTAGTACTAGCCCTCAGTGAAATACCTCACCTCCCTCTCCTTTGCTTTCCTATCAGCAACAGAAGACCCAGAAGATCTCAAAAGTTGAGTCTTTTTTTTTTTTACTTCTCCTGTTCCCCCTAACTTGGCCAGCAAGAAGGCAACGTAATAATTCTTCTCCGGGCCCACTTTAGCTCTCTCTGCCTCCCAGGTCCTCCCCCTCTGACCTCTAGTACCCGCCCAGGGCGCACACACAGGCAAATAGCTCTCCACCAGGCTCCACACTCCCCAAGGCCTGCATCGCCAGCCAAGGAGTTCCTTTTCCTCCTCCTCCCTGGGATGTCTCCACGGTCTAGTCCCCCGCTCCCACTTTAGTGGATTTCACTGCCACCACTCCTCGCTGGCGGGCACCTGCGCCCCTGCCCTCCGCTCGGCGCCCGCCAGCGGGATCCCTACCGCCCTCGGGCCGCCCCCTGGGCCCAGGGCCGCTGCAGCAGGTGCAGCCCCAGGTGCCCAATTGCCGGATCCTCGAGCTACCCAACATCGTGCACGTTCTTCGACCCGCCCCTGCCAGCCCCAGGGCTCCCTCGGAGTCCAAACACCAGCGCGGAAGATTCGCCCTCCTTGCGACTCCACCCGAGACTCTCCTCCCGGGTCTCCAGTGCCGAGTGCGGCCACTTACCCAGGGCGAGGGCCGGGAGTAGGGGCAGTGGGCCGGCGCCGCTGCCCGGGGCGACCCGGGCCATCAGCTGCGCTGCGGGGGCCGGGCAGCTCCCAAACGAGTCTCCCGCCTCCTCCTGCGCCCTCTTGTCGAGCCGCGGGCGCCCGACCGGGTGCCTGGAAACGAACGCCCGGAGCCAGCAGGAACCGAAACTACTCCCCAGGCTGGCACCCGGGCTACCACCGGGCGGGCAAACACCCAGGGCAGGCGGCTGGGAGGTTCGGCGAGTGTCGCCGGGAGGAGGGAGCCTCCTATTTATCCTCGCTTCCGTGGCACACACCCCACCGACCGGGCGCAGGACTTCGCGGCGGTGACCTCCACGCCGTTCCCACCCAAGTTACCCCACACCCACACCCACGCTCCGGGACACTTTCGGGCTGCCCTGGGGCCGGCTCACCCACTCCCCCTACTGGGTCGCACCTGGCGGTTCATTTCCCTCCCCCGGGGAAGTCGAGGAGGTGGGGAGGGAACCGAGAGAGGGCACCTGGAGAGATCCGAGACGTGGGGCCTGCGGGCGGCCCTGGGGGAGGCCGGCTCTAAACGCTTGGAGCCCACGGGGCGAGAATTAGAGCCCCGGACCGCTCTGGAATTCCAGCTTCTCTTATTTCAGCCTATTGTTGGCGTCTTGGACGGACTAGAGCCAACACTCGCTGTGGTTAACCTCAGGCATCTGCCAATTTACAAAGCTTCTCTTTTCCGTATATAATTAGTTGAATATCTGGGAGTTTGGCCTCACCAGGAGCTACTTTAAGAATGTCACATATTTTTTTTATATATATATCTCCATTTACTCATCTATTCATTGCATTTCATTTATTTATTTAATTCATGAACTCTCCTGGATCCCTGGGTCTGGATGATCCCTTGGAGAAGGAAATGGCAACCCACTCAGGTATTCTTGCCTGGGAAATCCCATGGACAGAGGAACCTGGCAGGCTCCATGAACTGTAGTTCATGGGAGATGCAAAAGAGTCCAACACAACTTATTGGCTGAACAACAACAACAAAATGGATCTGTTAGAATAAGGAGAAAGCCTCCGGCTTGCCAAGCACTATCTCTACCTCAACACTCCTATTCTTGAAAGAGAGGTGGGATTTGATGGTTCAGCATGAGCATCCTCTGGAACACAAAGGCACCCTCATAGCTTTCAAAGACAAAAACAGCATTCAGTTTTACCTTACATGATTAATATGTTCCTCTCCGAAATAACTAAAGGGTACAGCAGTTTTCATACTGATCTATGCTCTTCCTGTAAGATCAATATGTGCAATCACGCCCCTTCAACACAGAAGTTTATTTCTATAGCATCCAAAAGCCCCAAAAACATTCATTTACATAAAAAATGCAGTTCAGATGTCTTCCCCTTCCTCCCCACTGTTTAAATTAAATAAATTATTATGTGCTTTTCTTCCACAAGTGACATTTCATTTCAAAACCAATTCACGTTGCTTTAGTATAGCAGGCAACCAATATATCCAGAGGAATAAAAATCAGTTGTTCATTTCCAGAATCCCATTCTAGCCCCCACATGACAGCTCATAAAGCATCTTTGGGAGGACAGGCATGCGGTTCAGAAAATTGAAGGTTGTGAGACAGACAATTACTGCACCCCAGATCAAAAGGGCAAGAGCACAGGAAGCTTGGGGTTCACATCATCTCCCTTCTTTCTGTTTCCATCCTTCGCTTTTCCTATCTAATATTCTCTCCTTCCCTCTGGATCAGGGCCCTAGATTAAGGCACCTTTCAGTCTGAGATGGCACTTTAGCCAACAATTGTCATGGTATCCTCAACCGAACCTTACTGTTTTATTTTCCTTCTCCATAGATACTAATAAAAAATAAAACAAACCTGAGCAAAAAATACCAAATGTTTGTTGACTGTTGAAAAGTGACAAGACTTGGCATAGATGGTCACCATTCATGCCATTCAGATGGTATGAAATTAACTTTTTCAGGCCAGTGGAGTATGAAATTGTGTACTTTAGTATATTAACTAGACCAGATAAATTAATAACCTTTCCTAAGGGCCTTATTTACTGCCAGAAGTAAAATAAGTACTCCGGACAGTAGGCCTTCCAAATTTCCTGGCACCAAAGATTCAGTCTCTTCAAGATCAAGGAACTTTCCCTTTCTTTTCATTCCTCTTGCCTGCCTTCCTTTTGGACTTCCTCCTTTCTCTCCCTTCTTCCCTTCCTCTTTCCCCTTCTTCTCCTTCCTTTCCTCTTCCTCCTTCTTTTTCTCTCTCAATTCACCCACCATGGGGGAAAGTATATCTGGGTTCCAACCACTAACTTTGGAAGAGTAGGAGGTAGGAACTGACCTTCATGAGGCCTCATTTGTGTAACTGAGGTGTGTCTCAATGCTTTAGATTATAAACTGAGCTGTTACTAAGAGAAGTGAGAAGGTAACAGGCAGGAAGGCCAGGGGTCTCCAAACAGAGGAAATAGGCTGCAAGTGTCAGACATTTTTTATCTCTCTCTTAAGTGGCAGGAGGAAACAAACGAGTGATATATTATTTTTTTTCTTTCCCTTCTCTATACCAATTTTAAGAGAAACTTAAAATACTGTATTGCTATAATGACACTTAAAATACTGTATTGCTATAATGACACCAGGTTCCATCTGAAGTTAACTATTCTCAAACCTTGAGTTAACTCTTTTTACGGAAATGTTTGTCTTAAGCTATGTTAATGTACTATGCATTTACCCCAGACTCTGTCTTTAAGTTGGTTCAGCCTAATGGCTCAGAACCAACTTGACAAACCAGTATGTTATACTCAGACATTGTTCTCCTGATCTATGTAAACGAAACTATTTGTATGGTAATCTGGTTTCCGCAAGATTCAAGTCAATCATTTTATGACCCAGGATGAACCTGGTGCCAAGATTATCCCAAAATACATCTTTTGGATGAGGGGCCTTGTGCCGTTCTGAGTTTTAGGACATTCCTTTCTTTCATTAACAGACTGCGAGTGCCTATATAACATCCAGATGAAGACTAGCAGGGGGGTACTCTTTCTGCCCCCTTCTGATGCCTGTGTCAGAAGCTTTCTCTAGCTCCTTTATACTTTAATAAAACTTTATTACACAAAAGCTCTGAGCGATCAAGCCTCGTCTCTGGCCCCAGATTGAATTCTTCTCCTCTGGAGGCCAAGAATCCTGACATCTTTTCACAGTTTAGCAACAACCTTTCAGAAGAATGGGTCAAATCTACAACTGAGTTATAAGGTAAAACTTGTGTCCTCAGAATCCTCAAGCCAGAGATTTCTTGAAAGGTGTCTTTCCTCGACAGCTTTAAGCTGGTCTAACCAGCCCTCCGGAATCTTAGCTGGGTGCCTTTGAATTCCTTTAAGCATCAGTTTCTCTCTTTCCACACAGAGTGACCTTCAGTGGGGACTCTCCTTCCTCTCCTCTGGACAGGACAAAATAAGCTGGTGGTTATTTTGGCTATTTGTGGTTATCGTGGTTATTATGGGACACAACACCTAAATAGACACAGCAGTGGTGGTAGACAGGAAAATTCTGGAACATATCCACTCAAGATCAGCATGTATCCTCCAAATTATAACTTTAAGGTATTCAGGGTATAGGAAGATTTCCTAGTGGTCATTAACATTGTTTAATTCAATAAGAGTAGGTAAATAAAAAGAAATATTAATGATGAATGTAATGTTTTTATAGTAATGATAAACATTATGCATTGTAGATTATTAAAAATTTGTAGTATAATCTATGTGCTCAGTCGTGTCCAACTCTTTGTAAACCTATGGACTGTATTCCACCAGGCTCCTCCATCCATGGGCTCCCAGGCAAGAAATACTGGAGTAGGTTACCATTTCCTCTTCCAGGGGATCTTTCTGACCCAGAAGTAGAAGCTACACCTCCTGCATTAGCAGGTGGATTCTTTATCACCAGTGCACTATGCTAAGTCGCTTCAGTAGTGTCTGACTGTTTGTGATCCTATGGGCCATAGCCTGCCAGGCTCCCCTGTCCATGGGATTCTCCAGGAAAGAATACTGGAGTGGGTTGCCATTTCCTTCTCCAGGGGATCTTCCTGACCCAGGGATCGAATTCGNCTAAGTCGCTTCAGTAGTGTCTGACTGTTTGTGATCCTATGGGCCATAGCCTGCCAGGCTCCCCTGTCCATGGGATTCTCCAGGAAAGAATACTGGAGTGGGTTGCCATTTCCTTCTCCAGGGGATCTTCCTGACCCAGGGATCAAATTTGTGTCTCTTAGACTCCTGCAATGGCAGGCAGGTTCTTTACCACTAACTCCACCTGGGAAGCCAAGGTTTTCAAATATTCTTGAAACTACTGACTAAGTCTCTAAGGAAAACCAGTGAAAAATCATGCCTAAAAACTGTCTTCAGGTGATCTTATTTTACAATCTAGTTTTTTTTTTTTCCTGGGGAAAGGAGATTATTACTTTTTTTTCTATAATTTTCTATTTTCTATTATTACTTTTTTCTATTTTCTCATACTTTCTTCTTCAGTCCTTCAGGCATTCAGTTTATATATATATGCCTCAATCTGACTTGCTCTCTTTTTAAAATGGCAACTTAATGGAAGTTTCAGTTCAATTCCGTTGCTCAGTTGTGTCGGACTCTTTGCGACCCTATGGACTGCAGCATGCCATCCAACCATCTCATCCTCTGCCTTCCCCTTCTCCTCCTGCCTTTAATCTTTCCCAACATCAGGGTCTTTTCAAATGAGTCAGTTCTTCTCATCAGGTGGCCAAAGTACTGGAGTTTCAGCTTCACATCAGTCCTTCCAATGAACATTCAGGACTGATCTCCTTTAGGATGGACTGGTTGGATCTCCTTGCAGTCCAAGGGACTCTCAAGAGTCTTCTCCAACACCACATAAATCTCCAATATAATTGTCTCTGTGATATCAGTTTCAGCTCTCAGTTATGACCTTTTCCTCTGACCATATTCATAAACACTGAAAAAGATACTCCTGCTTAAAAAAAAAAATCTAGGCTTTTGCACAGTCCCTAGTTTAGACTAAGTAGGCAAGCACCTA